AAGCACTGGGAGGGGGGGGGGGGCACTGGGAGGGGCGGGGCACTGGAAGGGAGGGGCAGGTGGCTGAAGCCACCTACTGTAGCTCTAGCTCTCACACACTGTGCAAGAATTTCTCGTCATATAGGGAAGGAGCCGTCCATCCAGCCGCTACTTGCTTATGTTACATTTCTGCCATTCTGTAGATGCAACTATCAGCTGTCGAGTGTCACTATACGTGTTCCCTGCAGAAGTAAAAGTTGCCATGAGAACCGCTCGTCGCCTGCTGGAAAGACGCACTGCGTCGTATGACCAGACGAAACGTTATGTCAAGTGCGTAGAGTTTATAAACCTGTGTAAATCGTACAGGCTGTGCCAGGCTTGGCATTGCAACACGTACCGAACTGCGCTGATCTGTAAGCAGATAATTTAAGAGACGATGACGGACGGCGTTCCCGAACGACGAGGTGAATCGAGTTAGGCTATGGAACGTGTAGGCGTACAAGGAAGTAAGGGAGCGCAGCGAGATGGTCGACACCCTGGTTTGACAGCACGTGATTAAGTGCACCACTCTCGCCTCATTGCACGAGGCACTTGTGTAACCTGTAGCTCACGTTCTGCCCGCTAATGGCCTGTGTGGCTTTACAGGTGATTGCCGCGCTTGAACGCCTCCACCGGAACCTGTATAGATTGGAGAAACCGGAAATGCACCAGGAAGCGGAAACAGTGAACGAAAGCAGCCGAGGAAGCGTGCAGGGCAGATACCCCCGCAAGTGAATGTCAGGATCCCATACATCCCGCCAGGACCTTTATATAGCTCTGTCTGATCTGGATTACCATAAAATTGTTGAAGGCGTGCATTACGTATACACGGGTTTAAGCAACGTTTATCTAAAAACGTTGGTTAAACCGGTCTAATTGTTTGTCGGATGCGTATATTCAAATCGTGACGAGCTCGTCCAGCACTCGTCGCTGATGCGGAGAAGAAAACAAATTGCTTCGCGTGAGCCCTGAAATTCACGCCGAACGCAAGTCGTGCGTCGATCGATCAGGTTTCTGTTAAGGAAAATCAAACTTCGGTGAATTTCCCAGGTAGTCGAACGGGTTTCTCTTTTATTTTAGGCTACGTTATAATCTCTACGAAGCTTTTTATTTCTGCCTAATAAGCGCGAGCTACTATGCAGTCAAACACGAACAAAATACGGATGTGGTGAATCATCGGATAAAAAGAAGCCAAAAATTAGTTCACTATATCTTATTTCACTGATATTTGCGCATATATGTACCTATAATGGACACCGTACTTCGAATGCATTTGCGGGTCGTATAAGTGACTTCGTTGCTCGGTTAAACGGCATGTTTCTCAACCATCAGGGGTCCGCCGCGGTGGTGTAGAGGGCGCTCGCCTCCTGACCTGATGGTCACGGGTTCGACCCTGGCCGGGGCGGTCGCATCTCGATGGGGGCGAAATGGTAGACGCCCTTGTGCTCTGTGACGTCGGCGCACAACGAAGAGCACCGATTGGTCAAAACCTACCACGACGTGCGCCAATAATATCGTGGCTTTGGGCATCAAACCCCAGAAATTATCGACCATTGGGTGTCTACATTTTTATCTGTAAAACGCCGAGCACTTGTACACGCAGTACTGCGCTGGAGGCTAACCCCACTTTGGCCACATTCAGCAAATCATTCGTCGCTTGTGCTTTCGCCCCGAGAGCTTTGACGTCGAATACCCCAGAATTGATAGCACGAAGGGGGTATCTCCCGCTTAACTGCTCTGACGTCACGGCTCACGCAATGGCTGCACAAGTGAATACAGGGACGTTCAGCTCATTTTCACATTTCGCAGTAGCACTTTCTATAGCTAGACTTTATTGAAGCCAGGGGTCACAGACGAAGCGGACCAAATGTTGGCGTTCATGGTATCCTTGCGAACTGTTGTACCACCTTAATTAATCTCCGCGGCTCGAAATACCGATGCTCGAATGCGAAAACGTCGAAAAATACCCAAAAAATATGAATGTTGACGGCAGCGTAATGCTAGTGCGGAAAACGGAGGTAGAACAAAGATGTAGAGTGGGCAATTGCTACTTGCATGATCACATATTCGCTCCAACCACTGGGATCTCGCGTATCACGCGCACATGATGACGCAACACGCTACAGTATCAATAAGAGCCCGGTGACACTACCGAGCAAGAAATCGTTTACGGGCAGTATAGCAAGAACACCCGAACATGTAATGGCATCTTTACAGGCGTTTACCGGTGTGCCCAACCTTACTCAATTGTCGGTGTAATGCACTGTTTGAAGGAATTTTAGACTATATAGTTACCTATCTTCGAAGAGAATGATAGAAGAAACATGGGCATACGGGCTTCCTCGCCCAACGGCTTTCCATACTCTTGGAAAAAACAAGACGAGGGGAACAGAACATGCGTGATGGGTTAGCATTATTAGATCCTTTATTTCGCGTGCACGAGTGAGTGTAACGCGATGATGGCGCCCTCACAGTGATTGGCGCAGTGTGCAGAATGGGCAAGTAAAGGAATAATGGGGGATCGGAAAAGATACTTTGTGCCAATGATGCGTGTTCACGGAGAGATTCGTATTTTCCTCGTTAGTGCATGCAATGGAGGAGGAAAGCTTGTGACCGTCTATGCAGGTATATGGGGCGAGGCAGTCGGGCCGTGTGTGTGCGCGCACAGTTGCGGGCGTGTACCGGCTAGGCCCGCAGTAAAGCTCAGATGCGCGCATGCGCAAACGAATGCGTGCGTCGGCATTGACGCACGAAGACGTTCGCTTATCTCCCGGTTCACTCATTAATTCCTTTCTTCTTACCGCTCTGTTTTCTTTTTCTTTCTTTGCTCTTCTAAGAAACTGCGCTTCTTCATGGCGCGATTTCGGGCTGGATCGCCTCAGCTTTGCAGCGTTTTGTTCGCGGGCCATGGTCGTTCTTGAGCGGCTGTATACATCATTTATTTCGTGACGTCTATGGCGAGTCGCCCGGTTACCTTCCTCCATTTCTATAAAACTAGTGAAACATTTCGACTGGTGCTGGACGAACTGACTTCCTTTTGGCTGCGTGACAAGACTCGCGATGTCAGCCACCCTATAGCGTATACCGCAATTATATGGTGCGAATCGTATACGTTTGCGCGGATGTTTATTTTTCTTTTTTTTATCCTCCGGGAATTCGCGGGAGGTGATGCGTGGCTACGTGACGCTTCACACATAGGTTTACCTTTGTTTTGTTTTGTTTTCTTTTTGCCGAGTCTCCGCCGCGCGCGCCTAAGCTTATATATGTACTCAGAGGGCGTGGCGTGCTGTTGTACACGGTGAGTGGGCAGTTCCATATTTAGAACAGCGCTCTGTGGGCCGAGTTGCCCTCGCGCTGTAAAATCTGCTAGCATCATCATCATTATCCGTGTGATCTCATATCCCATCTGCGCCTATACTGTATATATTGTGGTAGACCTAAGATACAATAATAAATTTATTTTTATTTAATGAATAGTTGATTCGCGTGGACGCATACATTTCTGCTGTCATCGAGCGCCATACAAGTATTTAAGATATCTGGAATGAGCTCACTTTGATGCATTTGTTTCTTTTATAGCTCAATCTCTCGAAGCATATAATGCGAGGAACGTTCCGCTACGCCATCTATCGAATAGCATGCTAGTAATTCAAGACAGAAAGGCTAGATCGCTCAATCAATCAATCAATCAATCAATCAATCAATCTTGCTCACTAATTGAGCATGGTAAGTTCATAGAGCGGAAAACTGCGCGATGACACAGTTGTAAAGGTGGAGAGGTCGGCCTCAGTGTAGCCTCCACCTAGCCTGCTACACCACGCAGCATAAGGGGTTTGGAAGAGAAGCAAAACGTGGAACGTGAAGGAGATGAGTTTTGCGACTCTACACATGATCGCGTTAGCACAAAGCGCACGTGATCGCGTCATCAGTGTCTGCGTCTTTACGAGCTACTGCAGCATACTCTTGAGTACCGTCTGTAAAGAGTTCATTAGTTTTGAAACAATATGATGCACCACTGATGTGTTTAAAAGCGAAAGTATCAACTTTGCATTGCGCGAAATAATTCCACCACACAGCATGACCTTGATGACCGAGCCCGATATGAATGTCCTTGCTCTATGCCTGAAGATTTAAGTTAAGTTGATCATTTCTTTATGGTACATGTACTTTAAACGTCCTTTTTTTGTACTCACGATGAAAGATCATGGAGGGCGCAAGACAAATCGAGTACTCGGTGCGTCATCCTGCTATTTTTTGAGTGGCGATGCGTTACTGAGCTAACAAGCAAATAATCATCACAAAAAAAGCTGCAAACAGAGGCGCAACTTTTGCGAACAAGCTCGGAAGAAGCGGGAATTAATTTTTTTCATTATTCAAAACATATTTCATTATAATAAAAAAGTGCCTCAAATACGAAAGGCAGTTTGAAAAAATCACTAATCCGCAACTATGAACAAGAGCAAATTTATTTTTAACATTGTCTTCAGAGTAGTAGTTAGTGTATGATTGACGTTATTTGGTGATATACTATCCCAACCAATGTTTAACTTCAACCATGACCTCCGAGATTGCAGGCGAGTGGCGTGGTTTCCGTGCGCCCGCAATCTCGGACGCCATGCTTCAATACTCGATTACTCAGTCATCGACAAACGCGCTATTAGTGAATGTGGGGATCACAAACGTTGCTATATATGCTGGGAAAATGCAAACAAGCCTAATATACGCGACAAGTGACTGAAAAGTTCTAGAGCGGCTCGGCAAAAAAAAATGAATCCGCTTACAATAAGTGGAACCGGCAACTCTAGGCCTAATCGTAACTGCGGCATTAAGCAAATCGGAGATGCTGTACCAGCCCTCTGTGCCAATCAGGGATCGCCAACGGCGAAACTGGATAATGCTGAGACTAACACTCCGGCTACAAAGCACGTTGTTTGCACAGTGTGAGTGCTAATTACAGTGCGGATGCTTCTTTCTCATCGCAGGCGAATCAGCTTGTGGGTCGTCGCCATGGCGTACGGGCCTTCAAGAAGACATTACGGAGCACCTTCGACTCCTCCATGTTCATCAGTCAGAACTTCTTCCTCTACATGGTGCTGGTATGCGTCAGCACGTAAGTAGCTGCTAGAACTTGCATGTCGTCCCCACACGTATTTCATGTAGTGTGCGTGCAAATTTGGTTTTTAAATGCGAATGCATTTCTTAGTCGGGATATGTCAGGCACCCGGCGTTGTCCGTGGCGGTGGCAGGTGTTTTCTCCACTCTCACTCCCTCTCCCATAGCAACAGCTGCGGGTGCGCGCGTGTATCCTCGCCCCTAGCAACCGGAGCATGGGGTGTGAGAGTGTAGGCGAGGGTAGGTGCAGTGCTTCGCCGCTCCTTCCCTCGCTGTTCGTTCTCCTCATCTGCGCCCCACCCTCCCGTCCGCTCGCGCCCCATTTTCGACTGTTCGCTGGCTGGGTGCCTCTCAAGAGCATCCGGAAATGTGTGCTCGGTCCAGCAGGCCCGTGAAGCGGTGGAGAGGCAAGGCCTTGACGTCCCGACATGAGAGACTTGAGCCCGGGCCACTAATTTGCTGAACGATAAAGTTTTTCCAACACCACCACGCCGCTGTGAAACTCCAACGCCGAGCCGAGACCGCTGGCGCCCCACTCTCCCGTTCACTGGCTGGGAGTTTCACAAGGCGATGCCAGAAGTTGGCGAAAACGAGTAACTGATGGCAACGCTACCCTCTCTAGGCGTGGGAAATGCGATGTATTTCCTCGCGATTCACTTCGGTGAGGTGGGGGCATCTTTTTTTTAAGGGGGGGGGGGGGGGGTAAGGAGTAAGCGACGCCGATAATTAGGGAAACGCTGTCACCCAGCGTTGCATTTCCCCAACGTTAAGGCCGCGTTCACACTGAGCATTCCGGCCGCCGAAAGTGCTCCGAATCCGGTTCGGCGGCGCGAGATCCGCCGAAAGGGCCCTCTCCGCGCCGATCGCTCTCGGACCGATTTTTGCGGCGTCTGCCGTTGAATCGGTCACCGCGGACCAATAGGAGCGCTAGTCAAGGAATTTTGAAAAATGGCGGGCAAGCCCTACTCACTTGTTATGCTGCAGTGCACGTAACTGATTGTTGAAACCAACGGGAGTTTAACCTACTCTGTGCCTACTTCGCCTCTGTATCTCGTGAAAGAGGTGACCGAGCTTGCTGTTGGCGTAACCGAGCTTGTTGCGGTCTTGCAAAGCAAAACGAACCCACCAACGCCGCTGGCGTCGGTGGTTTTTCTGCTCTTCGTGCATTACAAGACAGCCACTTGCCAGCAAAGTAAGCAGTACTGTCTTTTCTTGCTTCTTGCGTACGAGAATCGTCGAAGTATACACCACCGGAAAGCGTAGTAGCGTTTGCGAGCCGCGACAACAACCGGGTGACAGCGCATCCATCCCGCGTTCGCCCCATAGTAGACGGCATATTCGGCGGCGCGAGGCGCGTCCAGTGCGAACGACGCTGCGTTTCGGCGGCAGGGGAATTTCGATCGCTGTAGAAAGCGGATGTTTCAGTGTGAACTAGGCTTAAGGGTTTGCATAGGTCGGCGAACTGACTCATCTATGATATGGCTAACTCAGGCTCAGATTGAGTCGTGAGGCTGAGTCAGAGCGATTACGGGTGAGTAATATTTTGGGGAGGCTGATTCAGAGTGAGTCGTAAGCGCAAAATGCGTTTCTTGGGTGAATGGGTGGGTGGGTGAGTGGATGGATGGATGGGTGAGCGAGCTGTACACTTTTTCGCTGCTCTGTGGTTTTATTTACTCGACTTCAGGGTTAGTATCAGCTTTGCGTATAGGCTCGTTTATGATCACGCCAGCTCGCACATATTTCGAAGCAGCAGCGCTCATACGCCAGTTCAATATTTATTGATCAGTGGCCGGAGTTAAAAAGACGGCAGGGGGGGGGGGGGGGATGCCGTGATCTCCTGACCCCTAACACTGGAAACTCTTTCCCGAGAATTCTCGGTAAAATGAACTCATGTTAATCATTCGTATTAATAACTATATGTCCTTGCTGGGTTGCTATTACTGATCTCATATTTGAAGATACGAGATCAAAAGGCGCCTCGTAGAGCACCGATTATGCGAGGTATTGGTGGTGGAGAGTGTTGACACCGAGTTCGAAGGAGTCAATTGCACGCTAACGGGCTCAAGAGCCGGCTCACTCAAGCTCAGATAATTTGAATCCGAGTGAGTCGGATGGAAGAAAAATTTGGTGAATTGAAGTAAGTGATTTCCAGGGGCAAAATATATTTCGTGAGTTTAAGTGAGCTTCATATTTTTTTTTTGCCGACCTATGGCGGTATGTCAATCGGAACAAGAAAACGTAGCACCGGTATTTAAAGGTCTATGACGCACAAACCGGTGAGGATTCCCGCTTTTTCAGCAGGTAGCCTTGCATTTAGATTTCTGGCCTGTTCTAAAATCCCCTATCATCTTCTCTGAAGTTGAACCGCATTCAGTCACAAATTGCCGAGAAATCTTCTCAGACCTAGCGGCGTCTAAACATTTGACGTAGACTGTACGCGACCTGTCTAAGCAGCCCCGGAGTTGCTTACTGATGCTTTTTGTGAGTTTTGAAAGCGCCAAAACACTACTTCATACAGGTCATCATTTCTTGCTCAATCTTCGTATTTCATCTTAGATATAAGCGTAATAACACACTTTTAAGCATTTTGCGCAGTTTTAAGTCGTTCCTACCTAGGGACTCAGGGGTGCAAATCGTGAAACTATTCTTTGAACATAGATGACAGGTGGACCGTGTTCAAATGCAAATATACCCACGGAAACGTGATTGTTTTCCGAGTCATTGAGCACGCACGCTTGCTCGTACACCCTTTCATTCACTGTTACACTGGCTCACGCGCAACCACGCACAAAAACCAATGATTTCAGTCGTGAATACAAATCGATTTTAATCGTATTCGTTGTAGTATACTTGCTTTAAGAAGTGAGGTTGATCTACGAAACAGGTCACGTAATCTTTGCGGAGTTAAGCGCTTCGCAAAAATGCATGGCACAAAAGGTCTTGATGCGTAATGCTCTTCGGAATACGAAAGGGGGAGACAAGTATAAGTGTAGAGGTCGTTGATCGAGCCACTCCTGCACGGATCAGAATGTGACGTCAAACGTTACGTCACCTCGCGAAAAACACCTCCCGTGAACACTGTCTCGTGAACTCCGAAAATAAGTGTTTCTGTCACGGTGGTCATGTGTTCGCGAAGCGGGTTGCACACCGCGCGTAATGCAAGGAAGGGGAGAGTTATTTTTAGCCGCGATAAGTCTACGTGATCGAAGGCGATTGTATGCCTGCCACCCCTTTCTGTTATATGTCTAGGTCACGCGATGCTCACCTATAATAGCGAGAGCCGAGTGAATCGCAACACTTTCTCGTTGTAATTGATTGGGGTCAGCGATGATGTCTCCGGCTTTTATATTTATTTGTTACTTTTATTTTGCTCTTAGGTGTAATTCTTTTAACGGCTGCTGTTGTGCTCATAGCTGTCTTCGCTTTTCCGAACGTCGATGCCCTTGGCTATCGATCGACCCCTCTATTGCGTCACGACGCACTTGAGTGCGCCACCTTACACGAAATCTGTCATTGGCATAGACCTTGAAGAAGAGAACTGGAGGGTCTTGCAAACAAACGTCTCGAAGAACAAAAAAGTGAAATCTTAAATTAAGACGTTGCGTGATCGCGCAACGAGGCCAAGGCTTATCCCGATCACTGCATACTGAGTCACCTGATCGAGCACGCTTGATGACGCAAGAAAAACGTGGATTTCGGATGAAGGGCAAAAGAGGCATGGATGCATTGGTGAAACAAATGGCTAGGTGCAGAGTAGTAGTTAGTAGTTAGTAGTAGTAGTTGGTAGTAGTAGTTGGTAGTAGTAGTTGGTAGTAGTTAGTAGAAGTAGAAGTAGTAGTAGAAGTAGTAGTAGAAGTAGTAGTAGAAGTAGTAGTACAAGTAGTAGAAGTAGTAGTAGAAGTAGAAGTGGAAGTAGTGGTAGAAGTGGTAGAAGTGGTAGAAGTGGTAGTAGTAGTATATTTAAAGAATAGTGTCATCATTCGGTAAATGAGTTGAACGGATATAAACGTGCTAAGGACGTCGTCGTGGCTGTTATTCAATGACACAGTCGGGTATCTCAAGATGTCTACTTGCAGGTATATTGCTGCGAGCTCCATATTTCTTGTTTATGCATATATATGTATACTGCGTTTAAATAGTTTTTACTGCTTATAAGTCGCATACAGCCTCATACAACATTCTTCAAGTTCACAGGAAGAGAAACCTATATCCTAGTCGGTGACGATTCATTTTGCGAGCAGCTTACAGCGCTAAGAAGATGATGACGAAGTCCAAAGAAGATAACGACGTGAGCGCTCCCGTCGTTATCTTCGAGCTTTGTCCTCGTCTCCTTAGCGCAGTAACATGGTGAAAAAATATTCTGTGTTTATTTTTGATACCGTGAGTTAGGCCTACCAGCTAACGTTTTTCGATGATATCATCGCCAATAAAATGCGTGTATATATTGCGTGGAATGCAGGTATGTTCACCTATAATTTATATACACCTGACATGCGTTTTCGGGGAGGAGGGCGATATGTTGTTTTTCAAAGGGGAGATTTTTTAGAGGGGGAGATGTTTAGAACCCCAGCGCGTCAAAACTAGCCCGGAGTTATTCCACTACACGACGTCTCATACTCATACCGTTGCTTTTCGCACAATGAAATCTCAGGAAATTCATCCAGTTCGGACGCGTCTTATGACTCCTTTCAAAGCCAATATATACACCGAGAATGGCTATTTACTTCTACAGCATTCTGAAATCGAACACATTGTGGAACAACGAGGAAGTAATTTTCGCTTCCCTCATATGGCGCACGTGTATAATTCTTCCTTTTGTGTTAATCACCTTTCGCGTCATTACCCGGTGGTCTCGAAAGGTGCTCGACTTGCACGGAACACATTTCGCTTTTATTCTCTCGTACATTTTTCAACTCTCTCGTGCCAAGTATTATAGTGGTCGGTAAACTGAAGGCGCAAGCTTTCTCGTAAAGCATGCATAAGAACCTTCTATTTCGG